ACAAAAAAAAAGGATTGTGGGCTTAGAGACTAAAGAAAACCGCATAACATTTTTAACAGTCCATCGTAGAGGTATGTAACATCAATTCGTCCCACGATGCCTTGTCCATCGCAAAGCAGTAACCAGTTCCTTCATCATATTTATTTCCAAGGAGTTCAACACCAACCATAGTCCCGTTATCCTGGACCTCCCATCTTTCCCCCTCCACGACACGCAGTCGCTTGGTATCAAAGTCAAGCACAATGTAGTGTCGCTGATTGCTCTCCGTATCCTTATCGACAATGATTCCAACCTTGGAGGTGTGGTAATAGACGCAGTCTGGCTTGAGTGATGTCTGTAGAACAAGGCCGAAAGGGCGAATGTCCTTGTGGGCCTCTGTATGCGTGTGAATCATGATGGCGCGAGCAAGATCAGCCCAGTCTCCGGGAAGAGCTTCTCCGAACATCCTTGGTTGCGAAGTCAACCTCAACGATTTGGTCATCATGTCGTCCGCGCAGCCGACGACCTGCCAAATAGCAAACAGCAAGGGATCGGTCTTGGGCAACTGCTTCTTGTTGACGAGCTCGACGGCCATGCTGGTAATCAGAGACATAAGCCCCTTGTAGACGTAGCCCCTGCTCAGCATCTCCTTCATCACTTGACGCACGGATGAAAGGGCCATGTTCCGCCAGTCACAACAATGGGAAGGAAAGGCCTTCAAGGTGGCATAGAGAGCCAGGCATGATTGCAGCATTCCGTCGGAGGCGACCGCGGGATAGCTTTCTCGTTCGGGACCCCAGGTGTCATCAACCACCCAGAAATTGTGGGCCAAAGGAAGTTTCGTGACGATTACCGGTTTCTCCTTCATGAGGTGAGGGATAATCGCGTGCCATTCTTCTTCGGGGAGTTCAAGTTGAACAGGTTGAACGCCGGATGTGAAGAAGTTGCAGAATCGTGCGAATGTGTGCTTCCGCAAAGTTTTGATCTCCTCTTGGGACGTTGCAACCCGACGGTGAACATCCAAGATCTCTGTAAGGTGGGCTTTTCTGAGATCTTCGACTTGCTGCTGGAAAGCTTCAGCTTTCTGTTGGATGGCTTCAATCTGTCCCTGGGTGGAGTTGCCGTCTTGGGTGGCCTCAGGTGATTCGGATTCTAGCTTTGGCGCCATCAGGAACGGAGGTGCTTTGCGTCGTAATTGTTCCTGAAATAGTCAAAGCTATGTAGCTTGACAATGGGATAACGGGTCAGCTTGAAGAGATGGGAGGATAGTTGTTATGGTTTTGTCACGGGACAGTGTTGGAAAAGAAAAGATGCGCGTCGTTCCCGGGTCTTTATTCTCTGCTAATGGCGAGGCCTCGGGCGTTCTGGAAAATCGAGTGATCTTGTCCTGGCTCTGGTCAGATGGCAGGGAGCAACACCGAAGTTACCGCTTCCATAGGTGGCGAGCCGAGTATATAGGGAAGCCCAGGCCCAACAACTGAGGAAGCTGCAATCTTGGCGCGTTGGTGGTCGTGGATGTGGTATGGTGTATCACCGTGGATTCGTGGTTGTCACTTGCAGTCTCGTCTGATAGGGGAAAGAGGGGATACGATGCTCAGCAATTGAGAAATCTGTTGGACTCGAAATTAGCAAGCCAAAGAGAAACAAGGGGTAGGTAACTATTGCCCTAGACGTTCGTTCGACACAGTCGCTCTTGACCAGCAATAGGGTCGATGTCCTTGAGATATTGTACATATGCGCATAATGATGGTGGTCTTGTGCCCATAATTTTAGAAGAAATTGTTGCCGCGACTGAGACGATGGTAAAGGAAGGGCCAGATTTCAGCATGTTGTAGCTCTCATGGTAGTAGCTGTTGTGGTCGTCGTTGCTGCCATCTCGGGAGTAAAAGACATCGTGAATGGCCGCCGCCGTGGTGTCTCAAATAGGATCGTAAAGTCAGAGACGATGGTAATTTCAGTGCGGATTGGACAACCGTGACAAGGAAACACGGCATGTTCGTTCCGTCTGTTAGAGGGTGCTTGGGGCGCTTGGGCCCGAAGAAAGCCGCCTGGGAACCGAAAAGTAACAAAAAAAAAGGGCAAGAGCAGCCACTACATACCTAAGAAGGACCAAGACCAAACGTGTACTTGCCGGGAAGACTGATACAGCTCCCCGCTGCTATTTTCTACTGGTACACGTCTTTTGCGTCCTTTCCCGTCTCACGCATCTTTCCACTTCCCAAAGGGCATTCCCTTATCGCCATCAGCGCTCGTGACTTCTGCCTGCTTCGTTGACTTTCACATCATCAACCCTCACATTACCATCGGGCATCCTCTAACTTGCAACATCCGAAAACCGTCACGACTAAACCCCTGAGGAAGCACACACTTGCACCATGGACACACCCCAAAACCCCCGAACGGCAGTTGCTACCATGGCCAGCGCTCTTGAGCGCCGCAACAACATCATCTCGGCCGTCCAAAGCTCATATGGTTTCAGCAACGACCGCATTAGATCCACAATCACCAAGATCATCATCCCAGAGACCGTCGGTGTATGTCGCAAATGGATTTTCCAAGTCAAAAGAAGTGGCGAAGGTGGGCTTCTGAAGTCCGGGTTAAACCTCAATCTTGTCACCGACTTCTCGCAGATGATCAAGTGGTGGGTTGATTACAACCTGTGGGCACATTTCTGTAAGTTCGCCTTTCAAGTGGTCTGCGGGAGTACAAAAAAACAAGACTAGGGACGCTTACAAGTGTTACCTTGCTTAGTTTGCCAATACATTCACCAGCCGCAGTTTGAAGAGCTTGAGAATCTCGATCCCGAGTTTTTGGTTTTCCTCGAGTCGGAGGAAATAGCGATGCTTGCGACCAAAGCTATCGACGAAGAGAGGACGACACCGGAGGGCAGCAAACACGAGGAGAGCTCGCAGAGGGACGAGACAATCCGTCTGACGGGAGAAAGTCAACAGGATGTCGATCCTGGCTTGTTGTCACACGGACATTGCCCACA